CATCTGCAATCATTTCCCCTCCTGGCTGAAGGAGGTCGTCTTTCTGCAGTCCTTCGGAATTAAGCCACGTGTCAGACAAACTGGCCGCTTTTAAAGAGAGGAAGTGAAGGTCCTTGTTCAGGTGATGACTCGGAGAAGCATATTGGATCAGTAGCCATGTTTCGTTCCTCATCACGGTCATTAGCAACGACCAGAAAGCCAGCACGACCCTTCAAGGAGCAGCAAAAAGCGTTGTTAATTTGTCAGGCAAAAAACTGAGGAATACTTGTGAAGATGCAAAGCCAAGCACCTCATGGTTGAAAGAAAACCTTACATTTCCTCTTAGAATTGCCTTCCGCCTTGCGTGATTCACATGACGTCCATGGTTCTCGGACGAGTAAGGTTCGACAACACCCGATATATTTACTAAAGAAGGATGAACACCAGCGCCTGACAGAGACTGCAACACAAGGTTAAAGGGATAGCGGTTCAAGAATCGGCATGGATGAACGGCTGGATACAGTGAGAAGTTGAACGTACTGAAGCATGCAGATGACAGGAGGATGGAGGTGGTCCTGGTGTGATGATGTCTCCAGCATTAGAAAGATCCTTATCCCTGCCAATATCGTCATGACGCCCTTGTTGGTGAGTTAGAATTATCTCCGCTGTAAACATCGCCATGATTTTGAATCTCCATACTGAGCATGAAACCCGAAATTTCTAAGGAGGGAATCGAGAGTTAATATATCCTCGAAATGCGCGAACATAATGAAGGAACGTAACTTATAGACCACGTCACCTGATTATGCCGTCAAAGGCTATCCACTCAGGGAGGCCATCCATTTGAAAGATTCCACGCGAAGAGGTCAGTCTTGCGTAAGCTTTCATGCAACCCGTGGCTGACAGCCTTGCAAATGAGTGTGCTTGCAACGAAGGCTTGAAGGCTTCATGGAAAGCGGATCCTGATAGTGCAGGAGTATTGACTCAAGACTGAGATTTCAAAATTTCACTGTCGGGTTAGACATCGGTAAAAATGCGAGTCATTCCCGATTGCTTCTTGATTTCTCCGTCATCGGATTCTTAAAATCGTACCGGATGCTTCCTCCGTCGCCGCTAGCAGCAACGTTGGTAGGGAACATTGGAATTGTGGGGATTTGGAGCGCCTCGACAATAGGGGAGCCATCAGCGTCACACTTTCGGACAGCAGTCAAAAGGTTGATATCCGAGTGTTATGACATTTTGAGAATCTGCTGATGGAGATGGCGAGGTGATGATCAGGCAGCGAGCCGAAAGGGACAACTGTTCACCCGACCCGACCACACCGACTCACAAAACACTACAGTATAGTTCGTTAAATGTAGCGTCAAGACTCCATAAAGACAATAATAATATTTGTATGAGCAGCTGATTGTGGAATTACAGGGCATTTTTCTTCTGTGCACAATGATAGGCACAGCATTTCAGGAATCTTGACGAAATATTTATTGAGAACATACGAAACATTAATACTACAGATAATAAGACAAAATGGAAAGGGCAAAAGGGCAACAAAAATTCACTTTATGCTACCATCACCATGTGATCTTTTTCTTTTTCAGTTATCTCATCCGTTTTTTCATTCCATTCGTTGAGGAGAAGGAGCCACTTTTTGTGAACTGAAGTTGAGGACATTTCCTGTGTAACCTGCAAAAAGAGGCAAACATCAGGAGCTGAGACTCTGAAATACAGATTCTTGGGACGAAGGAAGTCAGACAGGACTCTGCTCTGAGATCACTGGGCACTAAAATTGCTGACAGCAGCAGTTCACTTTGAAAGGAAACTCACCTAGACGTGGGTCCCAACCCCTGGCTTTGAGTTCTCGGTACTCCTGAGCAAAGGCACAGCAGGGGCAGAAGAGGTGTAGTGCAGCGTCCACGCAGGGCCTGCTGGGCAGGCTATACTTATCCCTCAGCATGCCCACGGAAGCCTGCAAGATTTCTTGGGGATGGCGCACTTGTCAGTACTGAGGGTCTGTTAAACCATCACGCTTGCAATTAGTTGAGGAAATCATGAGGCTGGAGAAGCGTCACCTTTAGAGTAGAGGCAGCCGCACATCCCGACGGTGAAGTACTGGATTAATGCCCAGCAGCAGCAGGCAAAGGTGGCGTCTGCGAGGCAATTATCGGTGGCCGCATTCGGTGACGCAGAAAAGGGGGTTGAGGGTGGTGGGGTGGAAGGGGGAGGGAGAAACGAGAAAGAATGAGGGAAGGAGAACAACTGACGCATAAAACTCATAGAGCTGCATGCTGACGCCTTGATTGTTGCCCTGAACAGCTTGATGTGCACTTTCTAGCATGAGACACGATCATCTCAAGGTTGCATGATGGTTTTTGGCGGCAAGTTGGCCTGGTGGGTGTAATGGGATGTGCTTGTAGTTCAGGAATGCTGGCCCCAAAAGCAGTGGGAACAGAGAGTGTGCAGCAGAACATGTTGGTCGCAAGGACATAAAGGGTGGTATGTGATGATAATCAGGGGGCTGCAAGGGAAAAACGGGAGCAGAGGGGCATGCACTCGGCTCCTTAGGCACACAAACTAGGATGTTGCGTCTAGCTGATATCAGTTTTAGCGGCTTCCTCCAGTGGTCACAGATCGGCTGTATCAGGACGCTGCCATATTGATCACAAGTCCTGTTGAGGGAGATAGCTCGATCATGGTCAAAGGAGGAGTGCGACCTGTCTGCAGTGAGGGGAGTGCTATCTGTTTCGTGCACCACGATGAGCTGTCGACTACTCTTCAGTGACCACCACGTGAGGACAACTGCCCAGTCAGACTTGCATGTGGCAAAAAACCAGCAGGTCGGGCAGTAGTGGTGGAGACCGATCGGCTAAACAGAAAAACGAGAGTGTTATAGCGGGGGATGAACCTGTGAAGCCGTCAGTTGAGATTTCAGCGATGCGGCCAGCGAGAACGCAGGGGCAGCACAACGCGCACAGACCTGCGAGGACACGTGATGCCAGGAGGGAGGGGGAGAAAAGAAAAGTAAAGAAAGAGAAGGATGGGGATGGAGGGTACACCAAACTCTGGGCATCGCGAGATAGTCGTGGCTGGCACCCACTCCGGGCAGTCGCATAACAATGGCGAGGTTGGCTGAACCAATGGCGACGATTGGCGAATAATAAAAGAACAGTGGGAGATTTCGGCGAGTGACGTACATGTCTTCCGTCTTTGTGGCATTCCAGCAGCCCAGAAGACCAAGCCCCTGGCGTTACGCCTTTCTTTCTCCGCTGAGGGAGCCGCCATGGCGAAACGTTTTTCAGGTAGTTGCACTCCGCAAGAAAGCAGTCCGCGCCTTTCGAGCACCAGAATTGTTCGTTCGCACGCCGCTTCTGCCGCAGGGTTTGGCGAATCAGTGCGCGCCCTCGCTGTAAGATGTTTATCTATTCACTTGGCCCGCCAAGAGCCGTTGGTGCTACTTGAAGCCTATGTGTCACTCTGTATGAATGTAGTAATTATCGATGGTGGCGTTGCTGTTGGTATCCCCCGTTGTTCCAAGCGGAGCCAACAATATCCGGGAAGGGCGGAGTAGTCGATGGCGTTTTCAAAAGCCTCGGGCTTCACAGCGCCTGACAAGAATGGCTATGGAGATTCCATTGATCACCATGCGAGCTTAGATTCGAATTCTGGGTAGGACCGATAGTGGCTGGAGAAGCTGTGAGGGAGTCGTCGAATCCAGGAAGGTGAGTGCTCAGGAAAATTGGTTTGTGCAGTGGGCACTGGGCACGCTTGTGAAAGTGAGGTATGGAATTGTTGTGAGATGCGAGCAAGGTGGCTTGGCAAGGAATGAAGGAATCAGCTGCGAATCGCATTGTGCTTGACAACTCCAATTATTCTTTCACTCCAATAAATCAGGTTACCCTTCTCGTTAGATAGATTTCGGAAACACGAGACTCGTTCGGGCCTCAACCACTTCTTTCGTTACAATTCGCAGCGAATCCCAACCAACCAAACGCGTACCTCGGAAAGGCAGGGCTGTTAAAAACAGGTGGCTACCAATAATGCGGTATGGTTTTATGACCGGAATGTAACAACACTCACTTTTTCGACATACAAAAAGGCTATGGGGAAGTTCACAGCAACAAGGATGATTTATTGATATGGGATGTTTAAGTGGCCCCATTGAACCGGGCCAAATGCAGTCGTAGTATTTTCTGCGATATAATATATCATTTAGACTTGCGGGGATACAGAAACACCTTTATGCTCTTATATTTTGCTATCTGACAAAACATCTTTTCACATATTATTTACATCCGATTAACAATGGATGTATCGCTTATCTAGTATCATAATATAGTAAACATATGTATTGTGCTGCTTTTTTTGGGGTTACATTATTCGTTTGACATGGCACCGACAGTTCCCCCCTAATGTCTATTTCCCTGAATCATTAATACGGTATGCCATTGCACAAACCGAAATCAGTGTTTGCCATTGCTCAGATTCTAACGAAGCAAATTCAGCTGTGCAGTCAAGCACCATCAATTCCCCTCCACAAACGCCAAGACGACCTTGCGGCATGGCAAGTGTAACGTACGTAACGATGCGGTGGTAGCGACAGTGTGCTTGTATAGCAATGCCGTCACGGCGGGACCTAGCCACGCCATGGCAGCGGCTCCGCTCGCGCGTGTTCCGCGTGCAGGAGGTCAGCACGCTCTTCGCCAGCTCAGATGCTGCTGGAGTTGACACGTGGCACTCGCCGCGATCCCCGCATTGCACATCGACGGTTAAGGACAGGGACGGTAGGACTGGGAAGCGGAGAGCGCGGAGGCGGCGGAATGGGGTGGCGGGGGTGGCGGAGAAGCGACGCTGAAGCGGTCGCTGGGATGGGCGGACACGATCTCGCTGGGGGTCGCCAGCATCATTGGCGCGGGTCCGTGCAGCATCGTAGAGCACCGTACAGCACCGTACAACACCATGAAACACCGTGTAGCATTGTACTGCATTATCAAGCATCGTAGTGCCTACGGTTTTCTCCACCTCCCATGATCTTATGTACCTCTCCCTTCCGTGCATCCAACTTCCTCATCTGTCCCCCTTTCGTCCGCTCCCATTCCTCCTGCTATGTCACCTCCCCCTCACCAACACCCCCATCTCGTCGCCTCTCCTCCCTCTCCCTCCCCATCCCCTCACCCACCCCCCCTTCTTCCCCCTCTTTCCTTCTCCCCCACACTACAATCACAGGAGTGTTCATCATCACAGGGGTAGCGGCTAGAGACCACGCCGGCCCCTCTGTCATCCTCTCGTACCTCCTCTCTGCCACGTCAGCACTCCTCTCGGCCCTCTGCTACACCGAGTTTGCCGTCCACCTGCCTGTAGCGGGCGGCGCCTTCTCCTACCTCATGGTCACGCTAGGCGAGCTGCCAGCCTTTATCACAGTAGCGAATCTCCTTATGGAGTACATTCTCTCCAACGCCGCAGCTGCCCGCGGCCTCTCTGCCTACTTCGCAGGGTTCCTCGGGCAGGACTCGGAATTTTTCCGGCTGCCCGTGCCAGCATGGGGAATCACCCTGGATTTCGTTGCGCTGGGGCTGATCCTGTCACTGTCCGTGCTGGTGGCATACGGCACCCAGGAATCGTCCCTACTTCAACTTCCTTGCTTCCGGTCTCAGCATGCTCGCCATTGCCATCATTATCGTTGCTGGCTTCACAGCAGGCAGCCTGGAAAACGTCACCGCTTCCTTTGCTCCGTTCGGCCTGCAGGGCATGCTGGACGCAGCAGCGCTCGTCTACTTCTGTTTTATCGGCTTCGACGCAGTTACCACACTTGCGGAGGAAGTCGCTAATCCGGCCGTTGATCTCCCGATCGGGATTGTGGGATCGGTGGCCGTGGTGGCTCTGATCTACGGCTTCATGGCGCTCTCCCTCTGCCTCCTCGTGCCCTACACTCAGATCGACGCCGACGCTCCCTTCTCCTCCGCGTTGCACCAGCTGGCAGGGTGGGGTTGGGCAGCAGGCGCGGTGGCAGCAGGGGCGCTGCTAGCCATAGTGACTGCTGTGCTGGTGGGGCTGATGGGTCAGGCTCGGATCGTGCTCGTGGTGGCTCGGGCTGAGCTTCTGCCGAAGCAGCTTGCTTCGGTGTCACCTGTGACGCGCACACCTCTCTTTGCGACGGCTGTCCTTGGTGCGTTGCTATGGTCTCGTTGGTCCCTGTGGTGGGCTGTGCGTGCGAGCACTCTCTGCCCCTGCATCTTGCCAGCAGTCACCATGATTGCCCACAGTGCATGCTAGGTGCTCAATCACACCGTCTTCATGCCTCATCCCATCACTTCGGATCTTAGAACAGGTAAACTTCAACTGAACCCCATTCCTCTGCTCTATTCTCTCGCAGGTGTGGCGACAGGTGTCATCGCACTACTGGTGGATCTGGAGACGCTAGCCAGCATGGTGTCCATCGGCACGCTGCTCATCTTCCTCATGGTCGCCCTCGCCCTCCTCCTGCACCGCTACCACCCCCGCGTCACCCTGCCACCCCTCGCTCCCATTCCTGCCGCTGCTTCTGCACATACAGCAGCATCAGAAGGAGCAGGAGTGGGGAGAAACGTAGTAGAAGAGGCAGCAGCAGAAGCAGCAGGAGATGATGGAGTCCCTTTGATGGCAAACGAATGTCACTCCCGACCTTGTGAGGTCAACCCACCTGCTGTGCTCTCCCCGCGAAAACATCAAGTGCAAGCTGCACGGCAGCAGAGCGAGAATGGACAAACCACTGAGGGAACCGCCAAGGGATGGCAAAAACAGAAGCAGGGTGGCGGGGAGGGCATGGGGGTGGTGCTGATGCATCTGGGTGTGATGGTGGGGGGGGCAGCAGGCGTGGCAGTGGTGTTCAGAGTGCTCCCGGGCCACACTGCACCCGCGCTGCTCTCCGCCTCCCTCTGGGCTGCTGCCACCGCCTCCCTTGCCGTGCGTCCCTCTGCTCTTACTCCCTCTGCTCTCCCTCTACTCCGCCATTCCCTCCCACTCACTCCCCTTCCTCCGCCTTCTCCTCTCCCCAGCGTCGCAGGCAAGCTGTGGCTATGCATTCTTGCTCTTGTTCCCCTTTCCCTCTTCTGCCTCATCCCGTTGGAACCCCCTCTTGCCTTTTGCCCTCGTTCTCCTCATTTCCAATTCCTCCACTTACGCTCCCTCATCTCTCCTCCCTCCGCCCCAAATTCTTCCTCCATTTCCCCTCATCCCCCCTACATTTTCCCCTATTTCCGCCCCACACTCTCTCCCCCCAGTGCTGCAGGGAAGCGGAGGCCACGCGGGTGTTCTCAGTGCCACTATGCCCGTGGCTGCCCTCCGCCTCCATCCTCATCAACACGGTGCTCCTCGCCTCCCTCGACACCTCCGCCTTCATCCGCTTTATACTCTGGTCTGCCATAGTCACTGTCGGGTATGTCCTAATGGTGCTGCTATCCCGTGAGCCTAAGGCAGAGTATGGGGGGGTTAAGGGAGAGCATGGGGTTATGACGGCAGCATCTGCCCTGTCTCCTGCAGCAGAGAGCAAGGCAGATGACACAGGGGATGTAGAGTTGACCCCTCTGGTTACCCATGCGCAAACATGACACTGCCTACCAACTTCTGTTTTGTCTGCTTCTGTTGTTGTCATCATTGTACAGTGAGTTGCATGTGTACCTTGTCGCAGTATCCAGTGTTCAGAAGAACAAAAAACTGACTTCCAAGGAGGGTGCAGTACACATCTGTTAGCATGGATCATGGATCACGGAAACCTAGATGTCAGATGCCAATCAGAACACGTGTTTCACAGTACTTCTACTCCTAACTGCAGGGCTGGGTTGGCCCCTTGACACTTCCATTCATCTAACCTTCTAGAACATAAGGTAACGTAGCTAATTAACTTAAGGCATGAAGCAGGAGGGAGAGGGGATCACGGGGAGAATGATCCTAGGAGTTGGCTAGAGAGCTGTAGAGAACGGGGGTGTCAGAGGGTCTAGTGCTGCAGGGACCGGCATCGCATGCCATGCCGTGCAGTAGTCAGTCACACGTGGATACCGTAGTAGTCGCAAACCCCACGTGTCCTCACAGGTTGATCACCGGCGCAAGTGGTGAGCGCACATTCGCCACACCAGCAGCGGCATCAGCAGCGGGAGTCACGGCACTAGCGTGGGTCTTCACGGCAGTGTTTGGGCCGGGGGTAACCTGCACCCAGCGTTTCTGGTCGTAGCGCCGTGCTGAGTGTGACACGTGCGTGCCACTCGTGGTGCCTGAATCCGCCACCGAGCAGCTCTCGTTCTCCGCATCAGGGCTCTGCACAGGGGGAGAAAGGGGCGGAGAGGGATGAGGACCGGTGTAAGAGGGCGTGGGAGCGGGAATGAGACTGGGAGAAGCAGACCAAGTTGAGCAGGCACCAGTGTGTGCATGAGAAGCGCAAACATGCAAGCACAAGAAAGCACGAGAAAGCAGAAGCAGGCGCCAACATGAAAAATCCAAGGCACAACTCACCGGAGCGACTTTTGAGTCGACTCAAAAGTCACATGAAAAATCCAAGGCACAACTCACCGGAGCGACTTTTGAGTCGACTCAAAAGTCACATGAAAAATCCAAGGCACAACTCACCGGAGCGTGGGTGCAGGGGGACGCGGCGGTGAGGTTGGGGATGGGGGACATGGGGGAGGCGGGGGAGGCGGGAGAGAGGGGGGAGGCGGAGGCCGCGTTGGGGGAGATGGGGGAGGGGAGGCCGTCGGGGGAGAGCGAGAGCAGCAGGTGCTGCAGCTGGCTGTGCACCTCCGCCATGCGCGGGCGGTCCTCGGGCTCGTGCTGCAGGCAGTGCGCAGCCACCAGCGCGAACAGGTGCAGCGACTTGGGGTCGAGCGTCGAGTTGAGCCGCAGGTACGGGTCCACCAGGCTCGTCACGGCGAGCCTGTTCTCCAGGTGCGGCAGCACCCACGTCAGCAGCGACTGCTGCCCCTTGGGTCGCGACGAGTCAACGGGCTTCCGGCCGGTCAGCAGCTCCAGCAGCACCACGCCGAAGCTGAACACGTCGGACCGCGCCGTCTGCTCGCCGCTCACGCGGAACTCGGGCGCCTGGTACCCCATGGACCCCAGCACGGACGGCGACACGGCGCGGCCCTCCGACCAATCGCGCACGAGCGTGTGGATGCCGACGTCTTTAATCTTCGCGCGCAGCTCGCCGTCCAGCACCACGTTGTCGGCCGACACGTCGCGGTGAATCACGAGCGGCTCGCACTGTTCATGTAAAAACTCCAGTGCCGCGGCCACGTCGACCGCGATCTGCACGCGCTTCTGCCACGTCAGCGCGCGCTCGAAGCGCAGGTCCCCGTGCAGGTGGTCCTTGAGGCTGCCACCTGGCAGATACTCATAGGCCACCCACCGCTGGCCCTTATCCGCGCAATACGCCATGATCGCCACGAGGCGGTTCGACTGCACGCACAGGTCCCCCAGCGCCTTGACCGCCGCCGCGAATTCCGCCTCGTCGAGCTTCTCCCCGGAGAGCTCGAGCAGCACCGCCATCTGCACGCGCGCCTTGCTCGAGAAGTCCGCCTTGTACATGCGCCCGTGCCCGCGGTCGCCGATCAAGTTCGCCTTCGAATACCCCTGCGTCGCCGCGTGGATATCCTTGAGACCGATTTTTTTAATCTCCATCACCTCCTGAGGGGTGCCTCCGCCCTCCGCGTCGCCCACCGTCCGCGTCGTCCCGATTTCCGGAGTCCGCGGGTCGTCGCCGTTGTCGCCGCCGCACAATCCGGCGGTGTTCGAGGGGGAGGTGGGCGAGCTCGCGCCTTGGAACGCGAAGCTTCGCTCCGACACTCCGGGCGTGTCGCGCGGCGTTCCCGCGACGCTGTCGCCGCAGCCATTCGCGTGCGCCCCGGCGGGGGTGCCGGGGATGCCGCTGCGGAAGGAGAGCGCGGGCTCGTTAAACGAGTTTCCCTCCTGAGATCGACGGCTTGACGGGCGGAAAGGGGCTGCCACGTGGCAAATCCCACCTTCCCCAGATGGCTGGCGGAAGCGGAAAGGAGGATGGCGGGGGCGGGGGGTAGGGAAGGGGGGGAGACGTTGCAATGAGAAAGTGAGCGAGAGGTAGACGCAGGAGCGGGAAAGATGACGTGGCGACAACAGCAGCACAGGTGGCGTGACCTACTGGTTGGATTACTCACGAAGCGCCACACAAATCGTTACACTCACAGTTCTTCCCGTGCGGCCTGTACGGCGCCTCGATGCTACCCGTCAGCACCTTGGCCATCCGCGAGTTCTCCACGTCAGCTCGGCGCGCGGCGTTCCTGTCGCGGCGCCACGTCAGCAGCTGGCAGAAGAGCGCCGCGATAACCAGCGCGGCCGCGAGCGACGCGACAACGATGCCGATGATGGCTCCGGTGCTGAGGCCGGAAGATGCGCCGGAAGACGCGGAAGACGACTCGGCGTCGGCGTTCTGCGACTCTTGCGACGGCTTGAACGCGAGGCCGGGCGCTCCTGAAACGGAAGAAAAGGTGGAATGAGGAACAAGAACAAGAAGAAGATGGCGCTTAGACGCACGGCCACGGAATCAGGAGGAGACGGCACTGCATGGAATACGGGAACATATCAAGCCGTAACTCCCCATAAATTGAATGGCACAAGGGAAAGGGAGAGCGCGTGACCGTACCGAGCACTTCGTAGTCTTTGAAGGCCTTGGATAGAATCACGCGGTGGCCCGTGACGGCGTCCACTATCTTCGCCTCCTGCCGCGCGTCCAGCGCCGACCCGTTCACGGGCAGCACCGCCAGGTACAGGATCACGCTGCCCGGCTCGCGCCCGATCACCATCAGCTGACGTGGCTCCAGCTGCAGCGCGCGGGACAGCTCGCCGAGCAGCACGTCCTCCTGATTCGCGTTATAAGCCGCGAAGTCCAGGTCCTTGAAACGAATCTTGAGCAGCGACGGCTTGGCGCACGTGCACCCGTCCTCGAGCCCGGGCAGATCGTCCCCCGCACACGGCGGACAGTTGGGGAGCGGCGCGGTGATCAGCGGAGGGAGGCTTCCCGCCTCATCCGCGGGGTCCTCCACCGGAGCGGGAGTTGCGGGGAGCGGCTCCGCCGACGCGCCAGCGCACAGCGAGCCGGGAACCGTGCTGCAAAAAACGATTTCCAGGACCCAGCTTGAGGTAAGTGACGGCTTTAAGAGCGGCAGGGATGGCGCCGGAGAGATTGTTTCCGAAGAGGTAAAGGTGCGTGCACGTCGCCATGCCGCCCAACTCGGTAGGCAGCTCGCCCGTGAATTTATTGTTCTGTAGCTCGACTTCTTGTACCGAGTACAGCTTGCCGAGCTCGGGAGGGATCTGTCCGGCGATCTGGTTGTTGCACAGCCGCAGCTGCAGCAGCCCCGTGAGGTTGCCGATGAACGGCGACAACGCGCCTGCGATGCCCATGTCGCACAAATCGCTGCGCGTCGCAGGATGAGGATCGGGTGGGGAGGAACATAAGTGCGTGATGATGGGAGTGCGACCGACGTACACTGAGGATGCACGCAAAAGGAGAAGCCTGAAACGAAAACGAAGCGTGCGAATGAAGTTTGAAGCATCGTCGCTGTTCGTTCCTTCGTACTTACAGTCTAGTGATGACGCCGGGCCGCGCGCACGTGACGCCGACCCACGTGCCGTCACAGGGGTCGCTGGTGGTCCACGTGGCGAGCGCAGAGGGCTTGCTCCCCTCGAAGCCGAGCTTCAGCTCCTGCATCGCCTCCAGTTGCCCTGCCATTCCGCGCGCCAGCCACGCAACAGGAATTTTTAAAGGCGAGTCAGATTGAAAGTGCGAATCACGCGGAGAAAGGCGGGCCGGGTGAAAGAGAGGGCGAGGAAAAGTAATATGGAGGAAAAAGAGGGGTTTCGGTGGTGCAAAAGGTGGGGGATTTCTATGTGCAACAACTGGCTTTTCTGGCTTGACTGCTGCAAATCACGTGCTCGAGGGACTAGAGAATAGAGGTCACTGGAGAGCGTGGATGGGTGACGTCCATACCTAGGGACGAGGGGTCTGTGGGATCGATCACGAGTGCCGACGCGGTAAGCGCGAGGGCAAGACCGACGAACGCTCGGATCGTGGACCTCCGAGCCATGCTGCTCAATCTCCGTCGCATGACGGTTGACGAAAAGGAACGACGAAGAGTCTCTGAACGAATCTACTCTGACTTGAAGATTGCAGGGTTTCTTGAAGCTAAGAGAAAACCTGGAACGAGGAAGCGCTGTGCTAGAGGATGCACCGAGGTGGTGCTGTGAGTGAATGGGATGAACTAGCAGAATTGAGTCAATTCCTTGGTTTTCATAAGATGTGCTTCGTAGACGGAAGGGCTCGAACCGGCCCTCGGTACTCGTACTATCGGCTCTTTCTGGTCGAATAAGTGACAGAACGGTATGTTGTTTTGGCGCAAGCATTCGGTCGCGACTCAAGAAGGCAAATTGCTGGATGTTCAAATCGCACGGCGAGATGGAGCCTAGGAACACGGTAGATCGGACGACTCACAATTAAAGAAAGGGGCGAACGAGAGGGTGAACGGTGGAGAAAGCGTTGGCGCGGTACAATCATCCGCGTCTCGGGGTGGCCGCGCTCCATCGTCGCAGCTGGCCGTCGCCTGGAGCATTGCGAATAGCGGTGCGGTCTTGGACCCTTGGGTTTCAATTTAAAAAAGTGTCGCAGAGAGCTGACCGCGCTCTTTTTTCAAACTCAAGTTCAAAATGTTTCCCGCCCTGAGGGCTTCTGGCGCAGGCGCTGGGTGCAGGTCTCACAGACTTGAATTCAAGTGTTCAAGCCCAAGACACACACAGGATACACATTGTAGACTGGTTCGTGGATTCAATACTAGGTTTACATTTTTAAGACTAGAGTGGTGGTACGTACAAAAGCACACACAATGAAACCCTATCTACAACGAGCCCCAAAAGAGGAAAACAACCAAGTCGAGTATATCTTAGAGACTACGTAAATTAGAAACCAATTAGACAAACCCATATGGTCACTATGCTTGTTCAAACCCATAGGAGAAACCAATTAGTCAAACCCATAGGAGAAACCAATCAGCTACCTTGCTTGATGTTAGTAAGCCATGGCTCTCTTAGGCCCAGCCGATACTGGGCGTTAGCTGAAAGAGGGATGACAGAGTAGAGGAGATAGGGCGGAAAATATATTTGTACGAAGTGAAGCAATGCTGCATATGACGATGGACGTTCTAATCTCTGCAAAAATAGTATAATTATTGAAGAAAAAGGCCACGTACCTTCAGTACCAAGGGACCCTCCCCCTGCCTCGCGCTCTCCCTCGCCCCCTGCCCCTGCCTCTGCCCCTGCCCCTCGCCTGGCCCCTTCCCCTGCCATGCAAGGGGGGCCGCCCCCTCGGCCTCGGCAGTGCCGGGTCCTGCAGGCAGGGGGGAGGGGGGAGAAACGCGGGGGGGAAAGAGGAAGAATGTGGGGGGGAGAGATAAGGGGAGGAAAAGAGTGCAGGGAACAGGGGGGGGGAAAGGTGGGGAGAAACGCAGGGTTGGGGGGTTGGAGTGGGGGAGGCGGGTACGGGAGAATAGAAATATGACAAGGATTTCATGCAATGATCTATTCTGTGTGTCATTGGTGATCCGGTGGTGGGTGCAAGGATGAGATGGACAGTGAGTATGCGTGCAGAGAGAGAGAGGTGTGTGGGCAGCGATGCACGAGGCACACAGAGGGCGAGTGGGGGAAACGAGGAGCGAACGAGCAACTAGGGTGCAGCAGTGGGTGCCAACAGGGATAGCACCAGCAACTAGTTGACTATCACCCATCCCCCACCACCCATCACCCATCACCCATAGCCCATGACCCATAGCCCATCACACACACCCATCGCACACACCCATCGCACACACCCATCGCACACACCCATCGCACACACCCATCGCACACACCCATCGCACACACCCATCGCACATCACCCATCACCCACTCACCCTGACATGCCCCATGGGAGCCGGAACCACCTCCTCCACCTCATCATCCTCCTCCTCCTCCTCCACCTCCTGCGCCCCCTCCCCCACGGCCTGGGCGCGCACCATCACCCACCCCCTTCCGCGCACATCAAACACCATCGATGGCCGCAGCTGCTGCCACGTCAGCTGCTTCTGTGCCATCTCCCCATAGCCTGAGGGGGAAATGGGGAGATGGGGCGAACGAGAGGAACAGGGGGGAACGGCGGAACGGAGGCGAGCAAGGAAAATGAGGGGATCAGGACACCAGCAAGTGGCGGACGGCCCACAACGACAATTGAAATGGGTCCTGGGTGGGCGAGAGAGCGGAAGGGAGAGCGGCGGCACTGACCTGGGAACTCGACAGTGGCCATGCTGGCTGCTGGATCGTCTGGCAGCGCTGTTATCACCCCCTCCCACCACCTGCCGTTGGGGGGGGGAGAGCAGGACACAGCATGCAGCATTGGATAACAGGATGGACAGGGGATGAGTGTGGGGATGATAGCAGGGAGGTGGAGGTTAGAGGGAGGAGGAGGGAGGTGGGGAATACAGAGAGGCCACGAGGGACAGCAAAGCGTGGGGGTGAGAGGAAGAGAGTGTGCAGAGGAAGGTGACCTTTACAACTCTGTCAGTGCGACAAGTAGCGGCAGGGAGGGGAGGCGGGAGGAACGGCACGTGACAGCAAGAGGGAGGGGCAGGGCAGCAGCGGGGACACATTCCAGGCCAGAATCGTGTTCTTTATCGACTCAAACCACAACTCACCCTGGCATGCATTGAGCTTGCAGCTCCCACTCACTCCCTCACTCAAACCCCACTCGCCCCCCACTCACACCCCACTCCCCCCCACTCACCCGTCATCCACCCAAGCATCCACGTGGTCGCCCACGCTCCACCCCACCCCTCCCCCTCCCCTGCGCCTCTTCCCCCCGCCCCCCCTGCCCCCCCCCCTGCGCCCCACCGCCCCCGCCCCCGCATAGGGGGGCCTGGCAGGGCGCAGGCAGCGCTGTGGCTCTCCTCCCGGGGGGAGGTGCGGGGGAGGGGGAGGGGGAACGCCAGAGACGAGGTGGGGAGGATGGGGGGAGGCGGAGGAGGAGGGGGCGGGGGGAGGGGGGGCAGTAGAAAACCCACTCCTCGAGGTGATAGGTGCCTGTCAAGTTGGGGAGTAGGGGATGAGGGGCGGATGAGCGAGGCATGAGCGAGGCATGAGCGAGGGTAGGCAGTAAGGGAAGCGAGAAAAAGGGATGCTGGGCGAGTGAAAGAAAAATGTGAGGTAGATGGGGAAGTGCGAGAGGAGCAGATACCCTGACGGGAGAAATGGGGGCGGACAGAGGAACAGGGTGAGCAGAGGGCATAGTCATCCTGGCAGAAGAATCAAGGCCAGCTTACTAGCAGCGCCATCATTGCTCACCCGCGTCGTCCAGCAGCTGGTCGTATCGGACGAGCGCCCGCCGTGCATCGAGCTGCAGCACCGTGCCCGTGAACCAGCTGCCCCTCAACCCCTCCTCGTTCGAAGCCACCTGTGCTCACCATGGCCAGGAGGCAGAGGCAAGGAGGCAGAGGCAAGGAGGCAGGGGGGTTAGAGAAGAAGCAAGGTGGTGCACGGACACATATGCGCACAGACGCTATCTGTGCAGCACCGTGCCCGTGCGTGAACCAACTGCCCCTCAACCCCTCCTCGTTCGACGCCACCTGTGCTCACCATGGGCAGCAGCAGACACAGAGCGGCGGCGGGGAGACAAGGAGGCACAGAGACAAGGAGGCAAAGAGAGAAGGAGAGAAGGTCATGGATGCGTGTGCAGGCAGGCGGATGAGAGAACAGCGAACCAGAGTCGCAGGGGAGAGAACAGCGAACCAGAGTCGCGGGGGAGAGAACAGCGAACCAGAGTCGCGGGGGAGTGGGAAGGCGGTGCACACAGCACCATGTGGCACGGGCGTGCAATGCTTCAGTCCGCTACGGAATCTCTTGCAGGAACCGCCACTCACCCCAGCGTGCATTGCCCTGAAATCGCCATACAAGGCCCCTCCCTCCCAATGACTGCTGCTTACCTCCACAGGAGTGCCCACATGGAACCTGTGTGGCAGCTTCAACCCCCACACCCTCTTCTCCTCCTCCTCCTCTTCCTCCCCCTCCTCTTCATCCTCCACCACCACTACCTCCTCCTCTTCCTCCTCCTCTCCCCCCCTACCCTCTAGGAACCCCACAGCGCGCCGCATTGTGTGTTCTAACTCCTGCCCCTCACTCGCCCTCCCCCTCCCCCTCTTGCCCAGCACACTCCCCCCCCCATCTCCCCATACCCGCCCACTTCCTCCACCCCTCCATACGCCACAAACTCGTCCCCCTCGTCGTCCTCCTCCGGCTCCTCCTCCTCTTCCTCCATATCATACGCGCCGTAGTAGTAGCTCCTGCCACGCCCCCCGCCCCTGCTGCCCCTCCCCCGGCCCCTCCCCCTCCCCCGTCCCCTCCCCCTGCCCCTCCCCCTGCCCCGCGCCACACTAGCCACGGACGTCAGGGGGAGAGGAGGCTCAGGCGCCCAGGGGGACTCCGCAAACGGGGACCCTGCGCCAGTGGCCTCCTGCCACGTCGCACCTGCACCATACCCTCCATACCCCCCATTTCCGCCATGCACGCCATACCCCCCATGCCCCCCATATCCCCCAAGCGCCCCGTTCGCCCCCGCACCCCCCTTCTTCTCCGCCCAGGCAGCAGCCACCGCCCTCTCTTTGAACACCGCCACCGCCTCTGCTGCCGCCCGCACCGCTGCCGACGCCGCCCGGGCCACCACAGCGGCCGTCATGACCTGGGCGGCAGCCACCCCCGCATGGTCCTTCCTATCCACCAGCTCCTCCAGCTTCCCCGGCCACACCTCCGCCCATGCCACCACTGGCCGCGTGCCCATAGATGCTCCCCCTCCCCCTGCGCCTCCCCCTGCGCCCCCCGCCCGCTCCTCCCCCTCTGCGCCCATCTCCTCCCCATCAGACCCGTACGAGGGGACGATCTCCACCCCCACCAGGTGCCAGCTGCGCCCGCGCCCCCTCCCCCTCCCCCGCCCCCCGCCCCCTGCCACGCCCCCTGCCCCTGCCGCGCCCGCGGATGGCAATCCCGGGGGCGTCCCACCCCTCATCGTCCCACACCCATGGCTCCCCGTTCCCCAGCGCTAACTGCCCCATGCCCCCCATGCCCCCCATGCCCATGGCCATGGCATGGGGGTCCATGGGCATGGGCATACCATCCGCGCCCATGTGCATGGGATACTCGCCATACCCGCTCGGCACCATCACTCCGCCCTCCCCACCCATCCCTCCTCCCATCTCCCCCATCCCATACCCCTCAAAGCCCCCGCTCCCCCCATATCCCCCGTAACCCCCGTACCCCCCCTCCCCCCTGCCTCCGCCATACCATACGCATGCATGCTACCCCTCCTCCCCCTGCGCCCCCTGCCCCTCCCCCTGCCCCGCCCGCGGCCCCTCACACCATCCGGGGACACATACCCGCCGCCGCCCGCTGCCGCCCCACCGCCGTCCAGGAGGAGGGCGGCAGGGGCGGCCTCTCTGCGGCGGCGCCAGGCATCGGCGATCTCGAGCCAGCGGTGGTGGTCGGGCGAGGCCAGTTGAGACGGCACGGTGGCGAACACCAGCGCTCGCAGCTCCTCCTCTAGCGGCTCCTTGCGACTGCAGAGGGGGATGGGGGGAGGGACATGCAGCAGTGGGTGAGGAATGGTGGTGTGGAATGGTGCGGAATGGTGGTGCGGAGGAATGGGGGCAGGGGATGAGGGAAAGGAAGTGGGCGAGCCGAGTTAAGAGGGCACTGTGGCGAACACCAGCCTGTGATGCACGGGGGATAGAGGCTGTGGGTGGATGAGGGGGATGGGGAATGGGGGCAGGGGATGGGGGCACAGCACAGTCCCAGTCCCAGCACCCGGTCACGGCACACCAAAGCACCCAGTTCCAGCACCCAGGCGCGGCACTCACAAGATACGGCCGTAGAAGAGGATGTGCGCCTCGATCTGGTCCAGCCGCATCGGCAGCACCGCCACGTTCCCCACCGCTCACAGCCACCCAACCCTCTCACTAGCAGCACCGTGTACCTTGTACAGTCACACCTTATACAGTCACGGCACTCACAAGATGCGGCCGTAGAAGAGGATGTGAGCTTCGATCTGGTCCAGCAGCATGGGCAGCACCGCCACGTTGCCCACAGCGGGGCACGGTGGGGGCTGCGGCAGCTGCGACTGCACCACCACCCTCTCTGCCGCCTCTATGTGCGCCGCCACCTCCGCCGCTGCCTCTGCTGCTGCTGCTTCCGCTGCTGCTGCCGCTGCCCCCTCGCCCCCAGGTGCTACTCCCCCTTCCCCGCCTGCTGCTGCTCCTGCTTCCGCCTGCCCTGCAACAGGCACTAGCGCGCCACCTTCTCCCCCTTCCCCTCCCGCTTCCATGTGCGCATCAGCATACTCGCCCTCTCCCCCGCCCCCTCCCCCTCCGCCTTCCCCGAGCGCCCCAGGCACTGCTGCCTCCTCCCCATACTGTCCCTCAGAAACTGCCTCCATGCGTTGAGAATACCCCGCCGCCCCCTCTCCCTCTGCCACCGTCCCTTGCGCTTCTGCTGTTGTCGCCATTCCCCCGTCGCCTTGCACGAAGCTCTCTGCACCCATGCCACCCTCGTTCGCTCCTGTGCCCACCTCTCCTTCGCCAACAGCAGCAGCGGTAACCATTTCGCCCACTTCAGCCGGTGCTACAACCTGCCCCTCTGCCGTCTCACCTCCGCCAGTTTCAGCAACAGCCGCCTCCTGGCCAGGGAAAGCCGCATCATACCCAGCTACAGCAGGCCCTTCACCATGTTCGTACCCTGCTACAGCCGCTTCGGCCTGTGCTACAGCCTCGCCCTGCCAGGCCTCACCTGCCTCCTGCTCAGCTACAGCTGGTTGCTGGTGCGCTACAGCAGACTCATCTGGGGTAGGTGCCATCTGCATTTGCTCTGCTGTCTCTGCCTGCTCTGCGCCCACGTGCTCCTGCTGCTGCACACCTTCGTACTGCACTGGTTGCTCGATATAAGCACCCTCCGGATGAGTTCCTTCCGCTGCTTCACCCATTTCCGCGTCAGCTCTCGGCTGCTCGCCCTCCGCCATGCCTCCCTCTTCATAAGCACCCGCCATTGCCTGTTGCATGATATGGCCATCCCCGCCCTCTCCGCCCACCTCTTGGTATTCGCCAATAGTCTCCCGAGCCTGCTCCTCAGTCCCGACCGGCAGACTCTCAGGCTCGGCAACACCCAAACCCGAACCAGGATCGGTTCCTGGTCCGGTCCCTGGTTCGGTCTCAGCTGCTGCACCCTCGGTGATCATAACCGCCGCCGCACCACCCCCACCCCCACCAGCATCCATATTTAGATCAAACCCCTCGCCTTCACCTGCTTCCGCTTCAGGCACCTCTCCTTCAGTCACACCGTGATAAGTCACAGTTTCTTCCACCACTCCTTCCGTCACATCGCCTGCAGTCACACCCGCCATAGTCACAAACGGCTCATTCTCGTCGGGCGCCTGCGGCGCTAGAGTCAGCTCGGTCTCGTGGCGCGCGGCCTCGGCCGCCTCGAGCATGTCGTCGAGAAGGTTCTCCGCGTCTTCCATGCCCTCCGCCGCAGCCTGCGCTGGCGCCGGCTCTCCTTCGGGCAGCGAGCCAGGCGGGAAATGCTGGCTTGGGTCATCCATTACAATTTTTTTTTCTACCCGTTAAAAAGTTTCGACGGTTGCTGGCAGAGGGTAGGCTGCGAAAGAGTGAACGTTGCAAAAAAAAAAAAAAAAAACTGTCCACGCTTTTTATAGATGACGATAAGCGATAGGGACTCGCGAGGCTGATATTGAAGAGAGACGCAAGCACCCTTCTAAGTAGGACGTGCGCTAAAACAAGTTAGACAGTGGAACCGATCAGCTCTGGCCAGTATTGCGCTCGAAGCGTTGATATTCCTGACGCACTTCGGATACCTTTAGCCTGCTGAAGGTTCTGCGTAATGAAGCCCGAGTTAGTGTACCTATTGCAACCGCTCAAAGAGTTTAAGAAAATGTACAACTTCGCCCTTCAGCCACGCTAGCTACCGTGTAGTGGCCTATGCCCCCAAGAGCGTCAGTGGGACGCGAAACCCTAGCCTAACATTCTGACTTCGCTGGCTGTTGGTGGAAATAGAAGCCAGGAACCACGCCAACAGCAACTATGCGGCCTCGAGTCGGGTTAGTGGCGCGAAATGTTTGAGGGGCTGGGTTGGCTAAGGGAATAAATCAAGAATTGAGGCCCGAAAGTTGACGGCGCATTCGAGTGCTGTGATCTAAAAGCATTTGTCAAGTAAAATCCAAAGTTTAGCGCCTTGCAAACAATTTTCAGGCTGAACAGCGTGAATAAACTGGAGACGCTTTTGTGACTAGTAAAGAATTGAACACTTGCCCTGTCCTCCGGCTCAAGGTTGTTTCAGTCATTGAACATTCGAAATTGAAATTGACGAGTGGCGGAAACTGTTACGTTGGTACACCTTCCAAAGGCACATTAGCACTGGAGATAACAAATACAAATTCTCTGAGCTCATTGTTTGGCTACATCTGCAATAATGCAAGTATTTCAGTACATCTCTAGTCAGCTTCACAATAGGCAATCACGCATATGGTATGCATACATATGGAACATGGGCTTTTCTAAAAGTCATTCATAAGTTACACAACCCACTGAGAGCAGCTCGTAGGAGAAACCCTTTCGGCAAAGTAAACCTCTTCTCTGTTCATATTATATATCATGAAGCCTCCAACCTGTGAGAACAGAACACGCACTCACCCATGCAGTCACTCATCTCCTCCGGGCATATTCGCAGGCTCAAAGAACGTGGGCCCTCCCTTGCTGCCCGTTCTCGCAAGGCTGTTGCTGCCCGAGCCAATCGTAGGCGTGCCGCCCAGACCACTGTTCTTGAGCTCCCGTGCCGTGATGACATACGCCACGTCGGGGTTGCTGCCGCGTGACAACATCATCTCCAGCAGCAGTGTGCCGCCCAGAATGCGCCTACCAATGGCGGGCATCCTGAGGCCGTCACACACAAACACCTCCAGACCTGAGGTGGCACACACGGGGGTTGAAGGCGGTTCACAGGGCATTGATTTAGAATCCGGAACCACACACAGCGGTTCCCAGGGTATAGATTGATGAATGAAGAGCCTGGGGCGCTTGGGCTATGCAGGAGCTTGGGAGGGGAGCAGGGCGGAGGAGGTGGAAGGAACAGGGACAAGGTCGAGTAAAATGAAACACATCAGTGTGTGGGAGGGCATCTCACCCTGGTCGGCGAAGTCATCTCGGCCGTCCACACTAATGAACAGATCCGCGACGTGCAGATTCTCCGGCAGCACCTCGGCCTGCCCAAACGCCCGGCCACTGCTGTCGCCCAGCCCCTCGGTGTCGGTGAAGCCAAACAGCAGCCTGGCGGCGCGGTTCAGCGCGCTGATCCCGCCCATGTCATCCACGCCCAGGATCGCATCCCCCGTGCCCTTCAGCATCGCTCTCAGCCGCTCCTGCTCCTCGCGCTCGCGCCGTCTCTCCTGCAGCGCACCGACGATCTGCGCGACAGTTTTGGTCATGGGCCTGGATCTCCATGAGCAGCGTCTCCTCGTACCCCTCCTTGCGATTCGCCACCGCAAACATGCCCACCAGCTCCGCACCCGCGAAGAGAGGCACCCCCAGAAAGGTGGACACACGCTGGTGGCCGGGCGGCACGCCCACTGCCCTTGGATCGTTGGGGACGTCGTTGGAAATGACGACGTCGGCTGTGGTGACGACGCGGCCGAACAGCGTGTCCATGTTGGAGAACACCAGCCCGGACGGGGCGTTCTCCGCGTACCACAGCCGCAGCTCGCGCGTCCATGCAAAATTGGTTATGCCGTGCGTCTGGAAGGGGGTGGAAGTGGGATGAGGAGGAAAGGGGAGAACGGGTTAGAATGAAAGGGAACACGTGTAAGGGCAGGAGGCAAGGTGACGACACGGCCGAAGAACACCAGACCAGACGGGGCACTCTCCGCGTACCACAGCTGCAGCTCCCTCGTCCACGCGAAGTTGGTGATGCTGTGCGTCTTGGGGGTGGGTAGACAAGGGGTGGAATGGTGGAGGCGGGGAGGGGGAGGGGGTGTGGGGAGAGGATGAGGGGGCTTTATCCGGGAGGGGGTGGGGTGAGGTGGGGTAGAAACGATTTGTTAGGCGTTTCAGAAGTCGTCTCATCACCGCCAGCAAATTCCGCGTTCAAAGGTGGCAGCTCCTTGCTTCAACCCCCCGCCTCCACCTAATTCTCAGTCACCATTCCCCATTGTAACCTCATTGTTAGCTGCTGTGCGGCGCGCATCCACACCACGCCCTGCTTCACGGTTAAAAGGGCAGCAGCGCTACGAATTTCTGCAAGTCCACGATTCAAGATGTGCCAACGTGCTGCGCTGTGCCTGTCCGCACTCACTAACCCTAAACCAGAAACCGAGATGTGCTACCGTGCTGCTCCTGACCACAATAACACTAACACTCGCACTCACACTCACTAACCCTAGACAGCCTCGTATATCTCTGCCGTGCCTCGTATATCTCTGCCGTGCCTCGTATATCTCTGCCGTGCCTCGTATATGCGTGCCTCGTATATCTCTGCCGTGCCTCGTATATCTCTGCCGTGCCTCGTATATCTCTGCCGTGCCTCGTATATCTCTGCCGTGCCTCGTATATCTCTGCCATGCCTCGCATCCTCAGAACATGGCGAGTCGCTGATCCAAGCACGCCTGCATGGAAACTAGCTACTTTGGGTATGTCTTAAGAGTTGATCCCTAGTGAGAGAGCACGTCGGCGTGGGGAGGGACTGCCTTGCTTCTGCAAGCCGGCTACAGTGCCGGCCCCAGTACCCTCGGGCTTCCAGTAGCAGCAGCATTACAGGTGATTGCTACTCGATAGTGCCGCCACTCTTCTGTCCCTTCCTCCTCGCCACAACACAGCAGCCATCCTCCGGCTCTCGCTTGACTATCCCGTTAACTGACAAGCGGCACGTGCCTGCCTCGCGTCACCTTGAAAGAAGGAGTGTTTTGAGACGTCTCAAGACGTCTCAAGACGTCTCAAAACAAGCGGCACGTGCCTGCTTCGCGTCACCTTGACATCACGTCCGTTCGCGCTCCCTGGGTGCGCTCCCTGGGTGCGCTCCCTGGGTGCGCTGGACTTGCCCTCCTCGAGAGAAAAGGTGCCCTTCCCCCGTTCCCCACTCCTCGCTGATACCCTTCATCCTCCCTCCCCCCGCACCTTGAGGTAGTAGGTCCCCTCGGGTTTCTTGAGCGCGCTGGCGACGAATCCGAACTTGGACTTGGTGAGATCCAGCAGCTGCGCCAGCAGGTAGTCGCCCACCTTGCTGCCGTTAGGCGACTGCAATGAGAGGAGGGAAGGGGAGGGGACGGGAAAGGGGGTGTGAGGAAAGAGAGTGGGGTGGGGTAGGAGCTGCGACGGCAGGTGGCCGCCCAGCTTGCTGCCGTTCAGCAACTGCCCTGCCTGTCATCCCTCTTTCCCTGCCCTCAGGCTGCCCCCCGCAACAACCTGCCTTTTCCCCAACGCCTTCCCCACTCCCTCCGCCTCCATGTCCTTTCACCCAACCCCAACTCCCGAGCCTGCCTCCCCTTCGCCTCCCCCGTTCCCACCCTTCCCCTTCGGTGCCTCGTGTGCTTTTCCTGTTCTTCGATCATGAGGTGCATTACGCCCATGCCTGTTTGCTCTAGGCGTGTTTGATTTTTCTGTTCAACTCACAAGACAAACCTAATCCCGCATTCCATACCACTCACCACTCCAAGTCCCCCCCACACCCCCTCAACCCCCTCCCTCCGCGAGCCGCTCTCTCGGTCCATGGGGAAGAGGTCATGACCGTGAGAGCATGCCTTGAATCGAACCCCCCTCCACGTTTTCTCCCCCCTTCCCCGCCTGCCCACACACCCCAGAGGTCGTGCGCCGTGGTGATGATGGTCAGCAGCTTGCCCCCCCACCCCTCCCTCCACGCCCCCTCCCCCCTGTGCGCGTGTCCCCGTCCCTCCACGCCCCCTCCCCCTGTGCGCGTGTCCCCGTCCCTCCACGCGCCCTTCCCTCGCGGCGCTCACCTGGTCTTTGGAGAGGAGGTCGTGCGCCTTGGTGATGATTGTGGGCAGCTTGCCCTACAACCCCCTATTTCCACGCCGGATCCCCCTTTCCGCGCGCCCTCCCTGCCCCCATAGGCGCTCACCTGGTCTTTGGAGAAGAGGTCGTGCGCCTTGGTGATGATGGTCAGCAGTTTGCGGTTGAGGATCTCCGACGGGCTCACGCCCATGCGCCCCACGCCCGACATCCCCGCATTCGAAAACCCCGCGTTCGAGAATCCCCCCATCGAGAACCCCGCGTTTGAAAACCCGCTGCTTCCGCCCGCGCTCACTCCCGCCGCCGCCACCATGGCGGAAGCGGAAACTCCGCCGAATCTATCCATCCCTACGCCTCCGCCGAACCCGCCGCCCATGCCGCCGCCCCCGCCGCCGCCGCCGATCATCGACTCGACGCAGCTGTAAGCGGTGGGAGCCATGGCGGAAGCTTGCTGGATGCTTCGCGCCCCGAACGACGACCCCCCGAAGGCCCCCGCGTTGCTGCCCATCGCCGCGAGGTGCGGGCACGCCATGGGTCCGAGCTCCGAGTGCGCTCCGTGCATGCCGTGCGCGTCCGCGTGGCAGTTCAGCCCGCAACCCCGCGCCGTGATTTCCGGCGGCGCCGAACACGTCGCGCGGCTGGATGTGGCCGAGCGGGCCGCTGGACGGCAGATCCGCGTCGAGCTCGCGCGCGCGCGGAAGGTTCAGCGAGCGCCGCCGGGACGACGTCGACGCGCTGTCGCTGGACGTCAGTCCGTACGGCGAGCCGGTCGAGCTGGCGGCCGCGCCGCCCACGCCGCCGCCGATGCCGATACCCTCGCGCGACGACTGCGAGCGCAGCGCCGAGAGCGGCCCGAGCACGTCTTCGTTCGCGCCGCCGCCGGGCGGGCCGTTGCTGCGCGCCTTGAGCTGCGCGAAGAGGCGCTGCGTGGCGGGCAGCGAGACGGCGGAGGGCGCGGACGGTGAAGTCTCCCCGCAGTTCTCGCACCTGGAGGGACGCGCGCGCATGGGCGCGGATGGGGGAGCGGATGGGGGCGTGTATGGCGGAACGGAACGAAATGACGGGGGTGGAGAGGGACGGAGGGGCTTTGTCTAGTTAAGACGTGACTTTTGAGTCGACTCAAAAGTCAGATGGGACGCTCTGTCTAGTTATCTGCCTCATGACGAACCGCGCAAGGGATGGGTGAACTTGGGCTTCCAGGTTCGCGCTTGCTGCTGCCACACCGCAGGCATTATGAATCGCGAATGACTCTGGGAGCGGGCACTAAGTTTCGCGGCTTTTTGTCGCCCTCACCTGCTGGAAGCCGACTCGAGCGCGTTAACTATCTCTAGCCAGTCGGACTTGGCCAGCTTCACCGTCACCATTTCCGCGCCGCCCACGCCGTTCGCGCCGGGCGGCCGGTCGTCGTCCGCGCTGTCGAGCGACGTGCGGGACGTGCTGTGCTTCAGACCGCGCTGCTGCTGCATGTGTTGCGGCGACGCGCTGTGCATAGCGTGGTGCGGCGACTTCTGGTGGTGCGGCGACGCTTGGTGGTGCGGCGACGCTTGGTGGTGAGGCGACGCCTGGTGGTGCTGCTGCGGCGCTTGGTGCGGCGACGTGTACCCGCGATCTGGTAAGCTCGAGCGGCGGCCGAGTGGGGGCGGGTGGTTGGCCCATGGCGGCGCGCACGGTTGGTCGTCGTGGCGCTGGTCGCCGGGCGACCGCTGGCCGGCGTGCGACGTCGAGAACATGCGCTGCCATCGCTTCGCTAGCGTCGGCGCCATGTGTGCGCTATATCATGCGATGGGGACGGGATTGGTAGCCCTAAATATCGTGGCTGTGCCGGGCGGCGGGGTATAGACTCCTGGATAATGCGCGTTAGGACGGCACGAGCATATTCAGGTAACGCGCGGGACTCCTGGATAATGCGCGTAGAGCCAGGCTCGACACAAACCTTTTCTTCTAAACGTCAGCGACGTGTTCGGTCAGAAACACGAGTGACGGATGAAGCACACAGAACTGTGCTAGCGTTCAGTTGAGATTGAGATCTATCCGTCTGAGTCTGAGAAGCCCAACTCCCTGAAGGGGTACGCTTTTCTTCGCTTCTGTCGCGCTATGCTCTTTCACTCCACCAACAACAGCCCCTCAACTCAACGCACTGAACGTGCGATCCCATTCCTTGGTGCTCCTTTCCTCGCCTTCACTCGTCTCGACTCCTTGCTTGCTCGCCGTTCTCGCAGCCTCGCTTCCCTCTCCCTCACACCTTTCCCCAGTGCCCCACATGATGACGGGTAACGTGCTGCCACCAGGAGATTCATTCGGCTTGTCGTTTCGCCAACTTACGAGCTCTGTCCATCCACGCGACTCGAGAATTGCTGCCCAAAAGGTCCCTTCGGTCAGTCACACCAGGCGTGGGCTGACGTGTAAGACTGACAACGACAAGGATGACAAGACGTAGGGTCAGAAGTTGCTGTTCGGGCAGCTTTCCTACCACCATTGGCTGTGAGATTCTGTGTGTGTGTATCCGCCTGAAAATGGGGATGGGGTGGGGTGTCAGCCATCAATTGTCCCTTCTATTCATGCTTAAAATCCTGGGCACTAAGGCATGTAACAAGTTGTTCACGATCATGAAGCTCGGACGATCAAATGGGTTCTGCATGTTTCTATAAGATTCAATAGGACGCAATGTGGTTCCAGTTGGTGAAACTGCAATCAATATTATGTACCATCATCCCCTTTTGGGTTGAGTATGCAAGGAAACCACCTGAATTGAATGTAGTTTTCACCAACCCTGTTCCTGCAAGTCAGATGCTTGCTCTGGGCAGAAAATCAATGCCCGTGCAAAGTTATGGCCAAGAAGGCTTGACGGACATATATCTGGCTTGCACCAATGGCCAGCGTTTATCGACTGTTGAGTCATAATGGAGCAGGGAAACCAGAGAACTATTGCTGCATGTACACCCTGAAAATAAAGGATCGACTGAACCGAAACTGGTATCAAAATGTGTGAAGCTCCGCCGTATTTGAGACAGCCACGCCACACAAGCTCCCTAAATACAGTTCACAGCTCAAGAGGGACTTGCAGCTAGTCCTTAACAAAAAATATCGAGTCTCCCCAGAACCGCCTCATCAGGCAAGAAGAATCGTAAAGTTCTTGGAGAACACGGGAGGGACACCATCGGGATTTTGTTCAGCCTGGAATCGCGTTCAGACAGCAAATGCAGCGCATTAATACTGAACTCTATTACAGCCTGCGCAACACTAGCCATGATTTTGCAGACACACAAAAGTGTATTCGCTTGGGAAGGGAAAGCAGTGTTTGGAACAATACATCTGAATTGCAATGTGGCTTCATATTTCTGAATTACATCATCCATTTTCCATCTGCACAGATTGCAGCAGCACATCTGCCAACCTCTGGGCTTCCATCATAGCACCAATCACAGCCTCCCTCTCACACAGCACGGGCAGCACCGGCACCACCCATCTCAACCTCCTTTTAATCACATCCGCTATAACCTGCATGCTCCTATCATCCACCGACCCATCCTCCAGCTCCTCCCTCTCCCTCTCACTCGCATTCGCCGATAACCCCCTATCACCCCAGTAGTGATTCACACGAATGAGCCCAGGATCAGCCACTATGGTCTCTCCAGAGTGCATGAAGAGCGCGGTGGGGCGCGTGGGAGAGGAACCCGAGGGCAGCCGCGGGCTGCAGCAGCATCTTGCCTCGCAGGCGGTCATGGTGGTCGGGCAGGCGGTGCGGGCGGTGGATGAATCGCTCTATAGTGAGGCGCGCAGGGGGAGGGCGTGGGTAGCCTATGAAGAACTGGTTGTATAGCAGGAGCTGGAGGGCAAGGAAGGAAGAGGGGGGAATGGGGGATGCGTTGGGGAACGCAGGAGGAGGGGGAGGCAGATGGTAACGGGTTTTGAGAGATCTCAACTCAGCTCAGCTGCAGAAGAGTCGGAAGAGTGTCAAGGCAGCAGACAGACAGACAATGGGTTGAGCAAGCAGACATAGTCTGCCAGCACGCAGCATAGTCTGCCAGCACGCAGACATAGTCTGCCAGCACGCAGACATAGTCTGCCAGCACGCAGACTCGAGCGGTGCAATAAGTGCGCAACAGCACCGTCTCACCTGCGTTGCCTCCTGCTGGTCATCCTGTTGTGCCTCGCCCTCCTCTCTCCTCCCTCTTCCTGCCCTGCCAGCAGCACCAGGAGCGGAGTGTTGGGCGGCGCATGGGCGGCGCAGCAGGAGGCGTGTGAGGAAGCCCGGGCGGGTGTCGGGCGGCATGAAGATGTACTCGTCCACGTCAGCAAAGGCCACCCACTTGGACTCATGGCCGTGGTGCTGGGAGTGGGGGAGGGTAGCAGTGGAGGGCAGGCCGGTGAGTGAGAGGACAAGACAGCGTAGTTGGCTGAGTGGCTACGGAAAGCAAAGAGCACCTCACGTGGAGCACGTTAGAGCGAAAAATCTTGCTTCCTTCCACCGTCTCCCTACCCCCCTATTTAGTCACTCCCCTCCCCACCTTCCCCCTTCCCCCGCCCTCCTCACCTGCAGGAGAAATCATCTCACCTGCAGGAAGTGGGAGAGCGAGGAGTCCTGGTCAAAGTGGTAATCAGCGCCAGCAGGGGGAGGCGTTTCTGGTGCAGGCGGTGGTACGTCAGCAGCCCTGCGTGGGTGTACACCGAGAGGACGGCCTCCTGGCTCTCCGCCCCCTGGCAGCACAGTCGTACCAATAGATGTGCTCTGTGCCTGCGTGCGCATGTACTCTATCCACTGGTGGGAGGGGAGAGAGGAGCAAGAGGGGGAGCAGGGACGGAGAGGGGAGCAAGCATATCGGGCCACATGGAGCAAAAGGCACGGTCGTACCAGATGATGTGCTCCGTGCCCGCATACCGCATGTGCTTGATCCATCCACTGCATGAGAGGGGAGCGAGGGGAGGGTGGGAAGGGTGGGCGCGGGTGGGCAAAAGTGGGCTCCAGTGGCTTGAGCGGTGAGAGTTGTTAGGATGTAATGCCCTCTCTACCACACAGCACCAGCAGCAGCAGTGCCAGCACACCAACAGCACAGCTTCAGAAGGTGAAGTTCCCTTGGGAGGTGAAAGGCAGGTGGGAGGGCGCACACCTGGAAGATGGCGAAAACTGCAGCCTGACACCGCTCTGAACCGCTGCCAGCAGAGGCAGCAGCAGCAGCGCAGCAGCGCGGTTGAAGGCCATGGCTGAGAGGAAGTACTTCCACTGCCGTCCCTCGCCCTCCCTGCCTCTCCCATCCCCGTCCTTGCCTCCCCTGCCCATCAAGACCTTCCCTGCACTCGTCCTGCTGTTCCACGTGACGCCCCACCACCCACTCCCCCTGCTTGCTGCTGACCCCTTCCTGCCATGCACCGCCGGAATGCCTTCACTGCCTTGACTCGCTTGACTTTTCTGACTGCCGGGCCTGCTCTGCCCCAGCCCCACCGCAACCTCCCCTCCACCCCAGGTCAATCGCCCCTCTTGCTCCGCCTCCCCTTACTCTCCTCCCCTCCCCCTTCCCTCTCCCCCCTGTGCCGCCCATTCTTCTGCCAGCTTGCCAGCCAATAGCTGTGCGTGGAGGGAGATCTGCTGCGGCCAATGGGAGGCAGCCATGTGGCAGGAGGTGGGAGAGCCAGGGAGGGAGCCACGTGGAGGAGGAGGACTGGTGCAGGGCGATGAGCACCCGAGCCAGCCTGGCACGGCCGGCCGCATCGTACAGGTCAACGTCGCCAACTCGGTCAATGGGGTCAGTGCTGTTAACGGGGTCAACGGGGTCAACGGGGTTAAGCTTGCTGCCTTGTGTAGCTGTTCTGCTGCTGCTGCTGCTGCTGCTGCTGGTATGTGTGGTGTCAATGGGCAGTGCGGGTGGGAGCAGTGCAGTCGCAGTGGAGCAGTGGGTGCGGCGGAAGGAGCGCGGGAGGGAGAGATGGTGAGAGAGGTGGAGGATGGATGGGCGGACTGAGAGGCTTGGGGGCATGAGGGGCTTGGAGGGGGAGTGGGAGCAGGCGAGGGCGATGGCAAGGCCCTCGATGCTGCGCGCCATGGCTGCATGCACTCGCCGTCGGTCACGGTCCCCTGCTGCGGTATGGCACAGGTGCCAGCTGGGGCAGGGTGGGTCTGCATGCATGCAGGAAGGAGGGAGGGGGGGTTGGTGTGAAGGAGGAGGAGAAGGGGGGGAGGGATGGAAGAAGGGAGAGGAGGGATAGAGTGGGATGGGCAGGGTGTGGCTAGAGCAGTGGGACTGATGATGACATGTCACCCAACGGTGCCCAGTACATGTGATGGCATGGGACAGCATGGCAAGGCAT